AGATTTAAGCCAAATTCAGATTTAATGTTGTGTGTTCATGTTTTAACATAATTTCTTTACATATTTCACAGAATATTAAAGGACGTTCACTCTCAGCAAGTTGACATCAACAGTTGACACAAGGTAAAATCAACTTAGTACTGTTATAGTTTAATTAACTTGACATATACATTTGAAGTCATAGTTTGTGTTGCTGTCAATAGTACATTATACTGGGAGGACTACTGCATTAATTGTTTTAGCAAGGTACCTCATCTTGATCATGTTCTTTTTTATTGTCTTTTGTTTCAGATCAATGAGTTCAGAAGAATAACCACAGTTCATCTGGAGCGAAACTTTTTGTCGAAATTGGACAATTGCACTACCAACTTTCTGGAGATACTTGGGACAAAGGGCGGAGTTGCAGGAACAAAGACCCATGCTGGAATCACCCAGCCTGGTAAAGTTTAGATATCTAATATTATATAAAATTATGTTGGGCTCATATACACTGAGAATAGATACATAATGATGCATTTGAACACATTCAATATTTTTGTTTGTTTCTCCCACTATCGTCATTTTTTGAGAACACATCAGACTCGAAGATGTAAAAGTGAACATGAGTAAATTTGAATTTCAAAGAAGTCATTGAAGAGGACTATGTTCAACATGTCATGAAGATCCTTGTCATCCATGGAAATGCAACACAGAAAGGCTTCACTCCTGACAATCGTGTTCGTCGTCAGAGGGAAAAGAGGTTCTTGATGACTGTCAAAGTGTGGCAAAGGCTTGCCTTCTGCTCATGGGCTATATCTATGTGTATCTAAGTGTTGTCAAGCAATACCCATCGTTTCAAATTAAAAGTGTTTGTTAAATGACTAAACGTTTGTGTTCTTAAATTTCTTATTGGCAGCACTGATTTAGAAATGTTTTGTCTGGCAATGCCAACCAGATTATATATGTTGGCATTTGTGTGTGTATGTCAGCAGTGACCTCTTTCACCAGTTAACAAGTAAAGCTGCTGCAGTTTAAAAGAAGATGTTTTGTAGAAGCCTTATGTTAAGACAATTTTATTAAATTAACAGTAGCCCAGTTTAAAAAAAATGCAACATTCATATTTGAACAGTTGTGTAGAGTAGTAGTAGATAAAAGATATATTGTGTAAATATTACTTAATATTTCTCAATTGAAAAAGTAAAGAAAAGCTAGTTAAATATACATGAAACACCTAATTGAGTTTTACTGGGGTTTTGTAATTAGATGCAAAGGTAGCCTGAGTAAAGATTACTATCAAAGGCTAAGTACATTTTATGTCTAAGGAAGACATTTGCAAGTAAAAGTTACTTGAAAATTTTGGATAAAAAACAATTCTTACTAGTAAGTAAACATAACTTGAGAATTCCTGAGTAAAAATTACTCGGAATTTCTGAGTGCAAATTGTTACCTAGCTTTTTTAAAGTAAATGTCACTTGTTTTTTTTTTCAGTGCGGTTTTCCAACAGCTGAACAAATTCTTGGCCGTAAATAACTGCTTTGATGTCTTCCAGTCAGGCTTTCGACAGCACCACAGTACTGAAACTGCTCTTGTTAAGGTTTTCAACGACATCCACTTAAACACAGACAATGGCAGAAGTTCAGTCTTAGTATTACTGGATCTCAGTGCTGCATTCGACACAGTCGACCATGCCATACTCCTAGAAAGACTAAAAATCTGGGTGGGACTTTCTGGCACAGCACTTAACTGGTTTGAATCCTACTTGAAGGACCGAGAATACTTTGTGTCTGTAGCTAATTACACATCAAAGCTGACTAAAATGACATGTGGTGTTCCCCAAGGTTCAATACTGGGGCCTCTTCTTTTCAACATCTACATGCTTCCACTAGCTCAGATTATGGAAAACAACAAAGTGTGTTATCATAATTATGCAGACGACACACAAATCTACATAACTATGTCACCAGGGGACTATAATCCCATAAAAGGGCTGGGTAACTGCATTGAACAAATCAACAACTGGATGTGCCAGAATTTTCTTCAATTACACAAAGATAAAACAGAAGTAATTGTTTTTGGTACCAAGGACGAATGATTGAAAATCACCACTCAGCTTCAATCACTGATGTTAAAACCCACAAACCAAGCCAGAAATCTGGGTGTAGTTATGGATTCAGACCTCAACCTGAACAGCCATATCAAGACAATTACAAAATCAGCCTACTATCACCTGAAGAATATATCAAGGATTAGAGGACTTATGTCTCAACAGGATTTGGAAAAACTTGTCCATGCATTTATCTTCAGCAGACTGGACTACTGTAACGGTGTGTTTACAGGTCTCTGTAAAAAGTCTGTCAGAAAGCTGCAGCTGATTCAGAACGCTGCAGCTCGAGTCCTCACTAAGACCAGGAGGGTGGATCACATTACTCCAGTTCTGAGGTCTTTGCACTGGCTTCCTGTCAAACAAAGAATTGACTTTAAAATCCTGCTGTTGGTTTATAAAGCACTGAATGGTTTAGGGCCAAAATACATCTCTGATCTGCTGCCTGCTGCTACCTTATGAACCATCCCGACCCCTTAGGTCATCTGGGACTGGTCTACTTTCTGTTCCCAGAGTCAGAACTAAACATGGAGAAGCAGTGTTCAGTTTTTCTGCTCCACATATCTGGAACAAAGTCCCAGAAAGCTGCAGGTCTGCTGAGACCCTCAGCTCCTTTAAATCAAGATTGAAGATTTTTCTGTTTGCTGCTGCCTTTAATTGAACCATATTTAATTAATATATTAATCAATTTCCTGCATTTCTGCATTTTACGACTGTATTTTATTTCTTACACTGTTTTTATTGTTTCAATGAATGTTCTTAATTGTTTTTAAATCTCCTTTTCTTTTGCCTTATGTTTTGATGCTTTTAATGGTTTTATGTGAAGCACTTTGAATTACCTTGTTGTTGAAATGTGCTATACAAATACACTTGCCTTGCCTTGCCTTACCCTATCTCTAAGGCTGAGCCCGGCCACCCTACAGAGGAAACTCATTTCGGCCGCTTGTAGCCGCGACCTTGTCCTTTCAGTCACGACCCAGAGTTGAGTTCGTGACCATAGGTGAGGGTAGGAACGTAGACCGACCAGTAAATTGAGAGCTTTGCCTTCCGGCTCAGCTCCCTCTTCACCAAGACGGTCCGGTGCAGCGCCTGCTTTACTGCTGCAGCCGCACCAATCCGCCTGTCGATCTCCCGCTCCATCTTACCCTCACTTGTGAACAAGACCCTGAGATACTTGAACTCCTTCGCTTGAGGTAGGCACTCCGTCCCCACCTGGAGGGAGTAATCCACCGGTTTCTGGCAGAGCACCATGGCCTCAGATTTGGAGGTGCTAACTCTCATCCCCTTCGCTTCACACTTGGCTGAAAACCGCCCCAGTGAATGCTGGAGGTCACGATCTGAGGAGGCCAACAGGACCACATCATCTGCAAACAGCAGAGAGGCGATCCCGAGACCCCCGAACCTGACATTCTCCACACCCCGGCTGCACCTAGATATCCTGTCCATGAAAGTCACGAACAGGACCGGTGACAAAGGGCAGCCCTGGCAGAGGCCAACACCCACCGGGAACGTGCCTGACTTATTGCCGAGAATGCGGACACAGCTCCTACTGCAGTCGTACAGAGACCGGATCGCCTGGTCGAAAGCCTTCTCCAAGTCCACAAAGCACATGTAGACTGGTTGGGCAAACTCCCAGAACCCCTCCAGTAGTCTTGCGAGGGTAAAGAGCTGGTCCACTGTTCCACGGCCGGGACGGAATCCGCACTGCTCCTCTTGAATCCGATGTTCGACAAACGGTCAGAGCCTCCTTTCCAGCACCCTGGCATAAGCCTTCCCCGGAGATCAATGATCGACTTTGTAATCGTATCATCTGATCTGCGGCCGTATGTCTTGGACACTCGGGTGAAGAGAGGAGCAGAGCTGTCAACTGATCACCACCTGGTGGTGAGTTGGATCAGATGGCAGGGGAACCGGTTGGAAAGACCCGGCAAGCCCAAACGTATAGTGAGGGTGAACTGGGAACGTCTGGCGGAGGACCCTGTCCGGGAGGTCTTTAACTCCCACCTCCGGAAGAACTTCTCACACATCCCGAGGGAGGTTGGGGACATGGAATCCGAATGGACCATGTTCAAAGCCTCTATTGTGGACTCGGCCGCTAGAAGCTGTGGCCGAAAGGTCATCGGTGCCTGTCGTGGCGGCAACCCGAGAACCCGGTGGTGGACACCGGAGGTGAGGGAAGCTGTCAAGCTGAAGAAGAAGACCTTCAGGGCCTGGTTGGCCCAGGGGTCTCCTGAAGCAGCTGAGAGGTACCGGCAGGCCAGAAGGGCTGCAGCTGCGGTGGTCGCGGATGCTAAAACTCGGGCATGGGAGGAGTTCGGGGAGGCCATGGAAAAGGACTTGTGGTTGGCCTCAAGGAGATTCTGGCAAACCGTCCGACGGCTCAGGAAGGGAAAGCAGGGCCTACCCCAGGCTGTTCTCAGCAGGGGGCTGCTGACCCGGACGAGGTCCGCCCTGAGATGCTGAAGGCGCTGGACACTGTTGGGCTGTCTTGGCTGGCACGCCTCTTCTGCCTGAACCATAAATTAATAACTAACAGTACAGTACTAATACCATATATGGGCCTTTCACTGCAAGCCAATCAAATCAAAGCTATCTTGTAAATAATATAGTGGAAAAAGTGCTATAAACCTATTGCTTTACAGTCAGTAATATCATTATGGAAAAAAAAGAATTGCTGGACTTAATGCGACCAAGTCTGCAGTCCATTTTAGATGCTTTAATGTATTTCTAGTATAAATTTGGATGATAAACATTGGTAAGACCCCTAATTACTAATTCTAATCCCTTTATACAAGTATCTAATTTATAAAGTGGTATCTGCCTATGCCTAACTCAAGGAAATTTATTTCCAAGATTTTGTTCTAGAGAATGAAAGCTGTGAAACCTGTGAAATAATGTTCCCCCTCTGCTCCTTTCAAAGACACTGACTCTTGCCAGAGATTATGCAGCTGAGGTGAAGAAGCCTTTCCCAGACATAGACGACAAAATCCTTGAGGAGAGAGACTGGCCAAAGGACTGCTACGTGTTTGAGGGAAAAGAGAACGAGCCCTCGATCATTTACATGCCACTCTATAACAGAAGAAACTGCAAAGGTCTGTTACACACACATGCAGTTACACACACGCAAACTTTTCATGATTTTTCTTCTCGGAGGCAGAGCTGCTCTGGAAGCGAAAATAATACCATGATTATTTGGCATTGTAGTGAGGCAACAAGCAAACTAAAACATATAATAGGCTACTAAAATGTCTACATTCATCCTTGACTTTGATATTCACTCAGAAACATCAGCAGTTTATTTATATCGACCTATTCATTCCATGTGTTCCATTTCTGGTTTTGTCTTCTATGGTAAACAATATAGCCGTTTACAGGTCCTGATTGGCCACATGGCCAATAATACATTTCTCAAAGTAGGGAACACACACACATTTATGAGGTCATCAGATAATGGATTAAAATTAAAATCTTTAAACCAAAATTAACTATGGCTTAAGCTGTTTTATAATGAGTTTACAACTAACTCAACTAGCTTACTTTATGTGGCAGCCGTAGCTTAAAAAAATGAATCAGCACTGATGGTTAACTTATCAGTACCATGGATTCAAGGATCATTTGTCATTATGCAACACAGGGATGCACAACAAAATTCAGTTGTAGCCCATTTACAACACAATAAACACACGACAAACAAAACAAAAACAGTTGTACATTCCTGTAGTGCATTTTTGGGATTTGTATCACAAGGAATGTAAACATCAGCAACATGTGAACACAGAGTCCTCCTCCTCTGGTCCACCAGAGTCCTGCTCTCTAATCCTGATGTCCACCCGTCAAGTGCAGCTTGATCCTGGTGAACGATGGAGCCAGGTCTCTGTGAAGATGTGGGCTCAACAGTCACTGAACTCCTTCCATCCATCGTATTTTTCTGTGACCGAACATCAGACAGCCAGCAGCATGCTGGGTAGTGGAGTAGCCTCAGGTCCTAGCTGGGTTAGCTTAGCTTCCATCTCGGCTCTCCTTCCTGGGGCAGTTTGGTGGTGTAGGTGACTATCAGCTACTTAAAATTAGTCACCGAGAGGCTGAGTAAGGGAGACTAACCTGAGGTCGGCTGGCCGTTACTGATTCAAGGATCCAGTGGCTGAGTTCTGTAGTTTTATTTGCAGGAAACAAACTAACTCTTGTGCTGAATAACACATTGAAAAACGTTAAAAATACTTTCTCTTGATGTACAAAGGTAATTGACAGCGATCAACAGCGTCAAACAATGATGATAGTGCTAACTAGAAAATTTCGCAAGAAATTTTGACAGTGTGGCTTCTACTGCCCGAAGACATCGCAATATATACACACGCCAATGTTACCGGTAGTATCATTGCGGTTCAATTGAGATATCGCTTCTCTCTTTTCTGAATTTTAGATTCATAACTCTTGAATTGAATCTTGTATTCGTGATGGACAGTCCACAAATGGCTCCCATCATTTTTGTACTGGAGATATACATCTTTGTTTGAGAAGCCTTTGGTTCCCATCATTTCTGTACGAACCTCATTCTGAGCTTCATGTTAAGATACAGTTACTCTATGGGGCTTTTATTTTGAAAGGGTGGGACTGGGTGGGTGAGAGAGGGGGAGAGGAGACATAATCATAATGTTTGACACACAAACACAAAGGTTATTAAATGACAGGCTTCATCACAAGCATTCTAGTTAGAATTCACTCTGTGTGTAACGTCCCGTTAGCTTCCTCATGTCTCTGTGTGCTTCCCCTGATTACACTCATCCTACTCACCTGCCCTGTCCACCCAGCTGCCTTCAATCTCCTCATCACCCCACACTCTCCTGCTTTCCCTGTTCTGGTTGTCAGATCGTCCTTGTTTGTTCCCTGTCTGTTCGTTCTGTGCCTTCCTCGTGGTTGCTCGGTGTTCCAGAGTTCCCTTCTGATTTGTACCTTTGCCCTTCTTTTGTTATTTTGGATATTTTTGCCCACTCCGTTGGAGTCGCTTTACGTTTGTTTTTGACCTTTTTTCAAGTAAAGATTCCTGAGTTTGAACTTTACCTCGTCTCTTGTGTCTTATCTGCGATTGAGTCCCGGATCTGCCCCTCGGCCTGACACTGTGGGCTTTTTTATTTTGAAAGGGTGGGTTTGGGTGGGGGAGAGGAGACAGAATCATAATGTTTGACACACAAAAAAAAAAAAAAAACACAAAAACTACCCAAAGTTCAGCAGTAAGTGTTAGAATACATCTTCGCTAATCTGTAGTTGGGTACAACGTTGCCTAGTGTAGAGATACAATTTAAAAATGTACAATCCAATTCTTAGATTTCTGTGTGTGTGTGTGTGTGTGTGAGACATCCCTTTCTGCTGCTGCGTGCATGGTGTCTCTCTCTCTCTCTGTGTGTGTGTGTCTCACCCCTGCATTCCTCTCTCTCCACATATTCTTTCCAGTCTGCTTGAAACGGTTACATTTCTTTCTTTCCCTCTTGGACATCAATTTATTTTTATCTGCTTCACCTTTTTCTCTGTTCCAAGCACACTCAAAGTTGATCCAATTTTTGTCGTAGGCCAAAACTGCCTTTTTCAGGGAACCCCAATTTGATCCATTCTTCCAATTATTTGGCAGTCTGATTATCAAAACATTACTAAAAATAATGAAAATGAAAGACTCACTCTATTGTAATTGATCTTAATAGCTGAAGTGGCAGACTTTTTAAATTCTGATGTAATTGCTCTCCAGGAAATGTAGGCGGCGTAGTTTACACCTCCGGGACTCTGGGTAATGGTGGTAGTAGTTCTATCTTATAAGCTCTAGTCTATCTCATAAGCTCGCCGAAATCACACACTTTATTTCCACTAGACCATGCTTTGGCCCTTCCAACAATGCACCGGTTATTTTCTTTATAATCTTGTTTATTTAACTATTTACAGTAAGCACCGGGGCAGGCCTTTAGCTCCCGCTTCAAACAATTCATTCACACCATGTGTTCTCACAGTCGTCTCTCCCCACAACGCTATTTCCAACACTACAACAACGCTTTTGACAAAACACAACTGCTACCAAGGACAATGTACTATTTTCCCTTTTACCCACCCCTATTTCAGTCCTGTGAACTCAAGTCAAAGCCAGCGAGTCACTCCGCGACATTCAGTCTCCTCAGTCGCAGCAACACCCGATTTTCGACACCGTAACTCAGTTACCTTTAAACTCTACTAAGCCATTTAGTTTACTAAACCCGAAAAAGCCAATGCAGGACCTAGAAGAGTCGTCACCTACTACTACGCACTCCCGGTTCAGTCTCAGTCCGCCTAGCTCACTCAGCGCTCTGATTATCTTGCTTGAACCACACAATTCAAAGTTATCCAAAGTTTTCCAAACACCTCGTCTAGACTACCAAATTAACACTCGCTCAAATTTCACAATTCAAAGCTACCAACTCACCCAAACTTTGTTTAAACTACCAAATTAACACTACACATTCGTATTCAGTTTGCAAATGTGCCTCATACAGTACTTTAGCTGTTTAATTTACTTTAAATTTCAGGTCAACAGTACTTTACCTGCTTCCTGCAGCCTCTCCTAGTGGCCAGCCTTCAGAAACGTAGATCGGCGGACACTTCCGCCTAAGCTTCCTATTTCTACCTATGCAGATTTTTAGTAAACGGCTCTGTAAACCTTTTGTTGTGGGTACCCACGAAAAGTGTCGATCCACGTCCCCTCAGCCTTCTCCGAGTTCAGTTGTAGTCCCTTCGTGGTTGCCAATTTTTGTTAGGGTTTGAACAAAGAGAAAGACCGGCCCTCCCCATGTGCTGTGTCGTCCTTCGGCAAGGCAGGGCCAAAATGACAGCTGGTGCAGGTTATAATCAAAACAAAATATATATAATAACTACAGAAGCTAAACAGTTGCAAACTGAACACACTATTAATAACAAAATGTACACATATATATATATATATATATATATATATATATATAATGAAAGTGAGGCCCCATCCGGGCCACACGACAGACAGTTGTGTCTGCCCCATGGTCAGGAGAAGGTCTGAATCTCCTGCAATTCCAAGATCCTTTGTCCCTCCAAAGTTACATCTCTCAGCTCATCGATCAGCTCATTGATTGGCTGAAGTCCAACAAGCCCCTCCTTGGCTCTTAACCTATTGTTCTGATCTTAACACCTCACCCAGCCACTTTCCAACCCGCGCTCCAGCACATTCCTCAAACACCCTCTCTTACAGGCACTCAAACACACTTCTCGGTCTAAACTTCCATAAGTAAATACATTGTAACATATAATATCCATAATTAGGAGCACTTTGAGTGAGTGGGGGGGAGAGAGACAGGCAGACAGACAGTTATATGGACTGAGTGAGACAGGTAGACAGGAGGTCTAACGATCTTTCCTTGAATATCATGTGTGTAGAGAGAGAGAGACAGACAGACGGACACAGAGAGAGAGAGAGACAGACAGGCGGTCTAACAATGCCTTTGACTGAATATCTCCAAGTCATTTGTGCATCAGTGTGTAGAGAGAGAGAGAGAGAGAGAGCCTGTGGCGTGTGTGTAACTGGTTGCCATGGTGTACCTGGTGTTAGAGGCAGACTGATTAACAAACGTTACAGTAAACAGTGATTTTGAACAAAACCCCTGCCTCCTTTTAACAAAAAGCAGGAGTGTCAGTGCCAAAATATGGATACCGTGAGAAAGATAAGACTCTGCCGAACGCGGTGATGTGGTTTTTATGTTTGTGGTCTTAAGAATGTGAGCTCCAGAGCAACATACAAAACTGGTACCGTCTGCTTTCTTTGAGAAATGAGTGGTCAGATTTAACATGGAGTCTAATGGAGCACTTGGTTGGACTTCATGTCGCATGTGGCTCTTTGTGCCAAATGTGTAAGTCCGTTGGATTCCACAGTTATTTGTCTATGACAAGGACACAATTAGCTACTTTTCCATGCAAAAATTATGCATGAAGAATGAAAAATGTGGAGTCAGTGGCAAAAGACAAATATTTTTTTCACAAGAATCTCAAGCTCCTCTTCACTCTAGCGGTGACATCATGCACTCTAAGCTGCGCAATACACACCCATTATAAAGTCAGAAAAGGACTGAAAAAATCATAAGTTAAAATGAGACAGTTCAAAAAGTGTAAAAGATATCAAAAAGCTGAATAATGTGGCAATAGTTTAGGGTTTTCTAAAAATTTTAAAGTTGAAATAGTGTCTGTAGCTGAAAGTATGAGGAAGTAGAAGGATTTGTTGGAATGCTTAATCAGCATTCCAACAACTAGAAAATTTCACAAGAAATTTTGACAGTGTGGCTTCTACTGCCCGAAGTCGTCGCAATATACAGTATATATACACACCAATGTTACCGGTAGTATCGTTGAGGTTCAATTGAGATAGCGCTTCTCTCTTTTCTGCATTTTAGATTCATACTCTTGGATTGATTCAAGTATCTCGGGGTCTTGTTCACGAGTGAGGGTAAGATGGAGCGGGAGATCGACAGGCGGATCGGTGCGGCTGCAGCAGTAAAGCAGGTGCTGCACCGGACCGTCTTGGTGAAGAGGGAGCTGAGCTGGAAGGCAAAGCTCTCAATTTACCACTCGGTCTACGTTCCTACCCTCACCTATGGTCACGAACTCTGGGTCGTGACCGAAAGGACAAGGTCGCAGCTACAAGCGGCCGAAATGAGCTTCCTCCTTAGGGTGGCCGGGCTCAGCCTTAGAGATAGGGTAAGGAGCTCGGTCATCAGGAGGGAGCTTGGAGTCGAGCCGCGACTCCTTCGCGTCGAAAGGAGTCAGCTGAGGTAGTTCAGGCATCTAATTAGGATGCCTCCTGGACGCCTCCCACTGGAGGTTTTCCAGGCACGTCCAACTGGGAAGAGATCCCGGGGAAGACCCAGAACACACTGGAGAGATTACATCTCCCAGCTGGCCTGGGAACGCCTCGGGATCCCCCAGAATGAGCTGGAACATATTGCCGGTGAGAGGGAGGTCTGGGTCAGCCTGCTTGGCCTGCTGCTCTATAATGCCTCAGCATAGATGAGGTGTTATTGTTGTATCCAAATTCTCTTGAACACAACAGACACTTTACCTTTTAAAATATCAGAAATTAGAAGAAAGACATTAGAACAAGGGATACACTGTGTCACATTTATTTACAGTATATTACGCTAGTTATTATTACTATGTGCCAGTGGCGGGCCGTGCATTTTATACCTGGGCCTTCACTGCTGTCCTGCAGCTGAAACACAGCTACGGTTATTATTTGTTTCGTGTCAAAATATAGCCAACACCTACAGATAGAGTGCGTCTCGTCTCTGCTCTGACTGCAGCGCGAGGCGCCTGTGAGTGCTTTTGGGCGGCGGAGGAGCTCACAGCAGCTCCCGCTGCTCGTTCACGACAGTGCAGAACGTACATGCTTTAACATCAGAGTCACAACACCACAAAAGTCTCCAACAACACCAGAACAAGTTGCTAGATTTGTCACTTGTAGCTTTTGACAAAAAAAGTCTCCATGAGGGTTTGGAAAGTCGCCAGATTTAGCGAGAAAGTAGCCAAGTTGGCAACACTGGCACTAACTAAATATGTCCCCAGAGCAACATTGTACGTAACAATGGTTCCTATCACGTATAAAACCAAACAAAAATCCATCTTCATAAAAACAAGTTGTACAAATAATAATATATAAACAAGCATATTAAAGCTACTGCAGATGTAAAAACAAACGCATTTAACTTACCAGAGCTGCTGTTCACTATTTAAAGACAAAGTCCATCCTCCTTTCTTTGTCAATAAAGAGTTTAATCTCACGGTTGTTCAGTACATCCGTGCGTTTTAGTGCTAGTTAGTAAGAAGTCCTTCTCCATTCATGGACGCCAGTGAAGACAGTCGAGCCTCCCCAGTTGTATTTCTTGAATAGGTTTTAATGCGTTTGAGGCTGAAAATGTCCGCTCAACAGAGGCAGCAGATATTGGGATTGTCACCGCCCGACATGTCAGGCTAGCCCACTGACCAACCACGTACTTGTAGGCCAGCTAGAAGGCTCTGACACGTCAAAGAATACGCCCAACATGTCAAACTAAAGATCTGATTGGTTGAACACTATGACAATCAACAATATCGTCCCCATTCACTTAAACTGCAAAGGGATTCACTTGTGAGTCTGCAGGCCTCGGGCCTCTCTTCTTACCTAGAGACACAGAGGTGAAATCTGATTGGATAAAAGCTCTATTTAAAACAAGCTGCACTGGAAGCAGAGCAACTGAGGAAGACAGGAGCTGTGCAATGAGAACATAAGATAATGGGAAAAATATTTTTATAAATTATAATACATGTAGTGTATTTAAGAAAAATTATTAAATTATAAAATAGCTATAACTTTGTGATTCTGTTTAGGCCAGCAGAGAAGGCCTTGCAGGCCCTGACGGCCCACCACTGCTATGTGCATACCTTATTAGGAGAAATCAGCTCAAAATGTTCCCAGACAGGGGAACATCTCCTCTTTCTTGCTGGTTCCATCGCAAAAAAAAGAAGCTCGGATAGATTGCAAACAAACGTGCAATAAAGTAGGAAGTCCACAAAATGTGACAGGGGATCCATTGCGTTTCGCTGCCCCATATATTTCGAATAGCACGCAAAACCCGCAAACCATTTCCTGAATCAGTCACGTGGTACGGCCGGCTCGCGAGGCTTCGAACGTCACCACATACGTCATCAACACAAGCCTCTATACGCGCTTCACAAAAATCTTCCTGGATTACTCGACACAAGCTTCGAAGCCTTGTCATGAAAGGACACATCACTACTGAATTTTTGTTTTGATGATTTTCATTGACTCCTTTAATTTTCAGTTCATTTTTAAGAAAAAAAAATAGAAATTTATTAGAGTTGTCATATACATATACACGAAATTTGACTTCTGCATTTAATCCATCTCTAGCTTATTGAGAGAAGTGGGCTGCTGAGAAGTGCCTGGGGAGCAGTTAGGGTCTTGCTCAGGGACACTTCGGCACATGACATGTAGCAGCCAAGGATCAATCCTCCGACCTTGCGGTTGCCGGACCCTCTCTACCCATTGAGCCACGTCTCTGCCCAAATATCTGTAACGAATCTGTGTGCCCTTAACAATTCTACACCATATATTAGGGTTGTTAAGCTTATATTTCCTGGGGTGTAATTCCCCAGGTGGCATTGTTGGTTCCCTTTCATTACCCCCCCTAAGGCCCCGCTACATTCACAGACTAAATCCAGGGAAAAGAGGGGGATAACCAGGGACAGGTGAAACTCATAAGGGCGGGGCAGACAATCACAAAGGCAGGAAGTAAGACAAGACACAAGAGGCGAGGACATTCAAACTAAAACGGTAAACAAACCACAACAAAAACCCTAGGACCATAGCACTTACAGAGCTACACTTTTAGCAAGGTGTCAAGAAGTAGAAGGGTAGCAGGTGATTGGAGCCTAAACCAGTGTTTGCTGCTTTATTATAGATGCAGAGGAGGTCAAAGCGAAGATGGAGGAGTTCTCCACCTTCCAGCGTCCCTTCAGCCAGGAGAAGATTGAGTTTGTGTTGGAGACGGCTAAAGCCAACATAAAGAACAACAAGGAAACTCTGCTGGCGGAGATTCACAAGGCTGTTCTCCACCGTCGCAACAAGAGGTAGGGATGGGTGGGGACACTGTCAATGTAGGTCAAACCTGAATCTCACATCTCCACATGAAATCTGTGGGCTCACTGTGTCTCTGAGGAAACAATCTGTGTGAAAGGAGATGGACTGATACAAAAATAATTCAGTTACCGGAGTTTATGTAATATCTGTGTGTGTGCTCGTCTGAGACAGAGATGTGGACGGTTGACAGAAAAATAACTGACTGATTAAAAATCTAACATGTCCACTTCTCTTTGCTTCTCCCCACCAGGAAGTCTGTGCTGCGCTAGATCTCTGATTTCATCATGATAACTCTGTGCCTGAGGAGGCAGAGAGAACACAGCATAACACAACCAATACGTAATCATGTAATGTAACAGCATATAATCATATATTTTTAATGTACTGTTTGTAAGTTATGTTTCCAAAAGTATATGGATACTACTTTTATCATAGCTCTTCGTTTCAAAGAGGAGATATCTTGCTGTAGCAATAATTGACAACAATTTGAAGACCATGTGCTGTTTCAACATGATGATGACCCCCTGCACAAAACCAGGGGCCTGTACCACAAAGCAGGATTTGACGGTAGCGAGGTAACTTCAGGGTTAACTCCGGGTTTTCAGTTCCACGACGGAGGTTCACTGATTACCAGGGTAGATCACCATGGTTACATACACTGAACACCTAACTTGCTCCGGAGTAGGAAAGTTGGAGATAAGGGATCAACTGGTAAACAAATACCGCCTACTGACCAACCAAAACTCGCTACGTAGATATCAGAATTAATGTTACACAAATACAAAGAAGTTTAAGTCATAATCCAGACTAAAAGCAACACAGTTTAAACAGACGCATGCAAAAAAAGACGGCTGTCAATAAATCGCTGACTGTGTGAATGTGTAAATTAACAGATTTGTAATATCACTGTCTCATCTAGAGCCCGATAGATCTGACTATAATTCGAAATTTCGAAATTTATTAGAGTTGTCATATACATATACACAAAATTTTACTTCTGCATTTAACCCATCCCTAGCTTATTGGGAGCAGTGGGCTGCTGAGAAGCGCCCGGGGAGCAGTTAGGGGTTCAGTGTCTTGCTCAGGGACACTTCGTCAGAGGACACGTAGCAGCCAAGGATCTAACCGCCGACCTTGCGGTTGCCGGACGACTCTCTCTACCCATTGGCCCTTTATTACATGTGTATTTTGGTAAATAAATATCTTGCAGATCTATTCTTATGCTGTGAGTGTGAAAATATTTTTGCCTTATTATTTCAGCTGTAAACCCAGCAGTGTGAATCGGTATATTCTCTCATCATACCTTCACTTATGTGGGTCGTGTGAAGCAGTTTGACATGTTGGGGTTGTTTCTTACAGTAACAGACTGGATACTTTGGTCACTCTGCCGGAGTTGCAGCTGAAGGAATATGACTTAAATATTGTCATACACGCCATAAGAATACATCTAAGCAATACATTAATTTAACGGAATACACACATAATTATAGTCAGCTCTACTCGTGCTGCAGCATTTTTTTTCGGTGAAAAGATGTTTAAGCGCTGATTTTGTAGATCTGTTAATTTCTGTGTCCAGGATTAGTTAAGCCAGAAGAAAACTTGGGTATGTTGAACTTGCTTCGTTGTACCCTCTGGTCCATCAAGAAATAGTTTTCCGACTTTGGTGCAGATGAACTCAACCCTATTCAACATCTTTGGATGAATTGAATTGGAGACTGCAAGCCAGCCTATATCGCCTAATAGTGCATTGCGAACATTAAAATAATTTCTAAGAGGGAAAGTTTCTCTGTGCTCACCTTAAATTTCAGTTGAACACCAGCAGCATTTACAACATCACTTGTCTGGAAACCAATCAAGTGTGTCATGGTAAGTGTGTACAGAGACTGAGATTGGACTTTACAATGAAGAAGGAGACATCAAAATGAAAAAATATATCTCAACACAACTAACTAATCCTAAAATAAAATAACTCTCAGAACTTTGTTTCTATGTTCAGTATACTTGGTACCAGAGTACACAGGTGGCATCCCATTGGAAATCAATCACTTCTCACTTCTTCTTTCGATTTGAATGAATTGTTTCCTACATGTGCTCTCTGTATGAGAGAGCCCTTAAATCATGATTTGCAAGATATGCGAAAAAAAAAAAAATTCCAACTGAACTTTGCATTTTTTAACACATTATAGGGTATACACTTCTTTACATCTCCTGAAGTTTTGATGTTGGTTAGCAGTTGAACAACAGCAGATGTCTGAGTATGATTATTTGGTGGGTATAGGTCAGTCTAACACACAATTCCTTGATGTTGCCCATGATTTTCTGTTTCAACTCAAATATTACTTCAGTTTTCCTATTTGTTTATCATTACACCACTGAAAAACTAAATAAATTACAACGAAATGTCATAATAGGGAAGCCCAGGTCAGCAAAATTGTGTCGTGCAAAATCGCAGGTGTGAAGATCTTTTTTCTGAAGCCGCTGGTCATGGTCCCTCATACGTTACCATGAAGGAATAATGTGTTCAAATAAAATGGAGTGAGGCCAAAAAGGGATTGATTTCTGATGGAATACCCCACAGGTCTATTCCAAGGAAATTATTAAAAGTATTCACACCAGTCTAAAAAAATTCTAATCTCTAATTTTCTAATTGTAGTTAACCCCCTAAGTTTGCTATAACCTACAAATTTCAAGACGAAATAGGCCTACAGGAGACAGCACACTATCTTCCACTATGGACGATAGTGGAAGATAGTCTTCCACTATGGCCAAACATTCACAGCATATCCATATACTGTGCATACTTACTCCATTTACTAAATGTTGGTATGTCATCATGTCACTCTATAAAACATCTGTCACGCTGGCTTCGAATGAATTAACCCTATGCCAGCGTTAGAGGTCGCACAACATCCACAGGCGGGAGTTGTCTTTATGTGGGTCAATACAACCAAGCATTCATGGAGGCCAGCTGCATAGCCTACAACACAGAAACTCGAACCCCTTTGTGACTATGTCATGTTTTTTTTTTTTTAAATAAGATGCCTGGGCGATTTAGATAGTAAGATCATCACTGAGTTTTTATTTCTTTTTTTTTCCTTCTGAAATTGTAGTAAAATAATTGAACCTGACACTGTTTGCCTGGTTTGTTGTATTAGCTCTCTTTTAATTGTTTCAGTTGAAGTTTCCTACAGAAGTATGACTTCATCGTTCTTCGTGGCATTTTAAGCACTGATTTCCCAATTATAATCTTTGCTGGTATTTTGTATATCTTCAGGTGAAAGAATTCTGTCGTCATACAATATCATGAATATTTTGTCTCTGTTTCTGTGCGTTCTCAGTGGCTTTTCCGTCGTCAGTGAAGTTGCCTGATGCGCTGCAGACGAGCAGTGCGCTACACACATCCACCCTCCAGACGAAAATAGAGAAATAGAAAATGCTTCATGAACGGATTTCACAGCTAGAATGCCTTCATGGTGGATAGATACAGAGATAGATGCATTAAAGACACGAGTAAAAACACCCAAATGTTGCCAGAACACCAAACCGAGATGCGAAGGACGCTGCCGTGAGAACGACAGGGAATCGAACCCTGGTCTTCATACGGCACCCGGGGATTCTTTAGCTAAAACTCCCTAAACTTTTTCCCATTCATTTTCAATGGTAGTCCTAAACCAGTACGGATGTAATATATCTTTGGCCACTAGCAGCGCTGTGGTGCCGTTTTGCGAGTGAAAGACTTTCTCCGGCGACAGCCCGGATATTCTGGAGCTCTTCGCTGTGTGGACGCTACGTTACACGGTAAGTAGTCAATAAGATGAATAACAATGAATTAAAATGTCATGATAATTAGTCTGGATTGTCTGACATCCACGTGAAAGCTATAAAGATAAAGTTCGTGGTGTTTCTTCAGTTTTATTGTTCATACCGGTTCATTCATGTCCGACTTTGTTGTGTTTTTGTGGCCGAAATTATCACAAGTTAACACGAACGTGCATTTAAATATACGATTTAATGTTTACTGCCGTACGTCGGTGAATATAGAGGCTGACCAGCGGCCGGTTAACGTGAGATATACTCTGGACGTTACTTTACGGGCACGTAACGAAAGAACAACAAGCTGTGACCGGACCCGGTGCTTCATTTGAATCACGTTAACGTTAAATAAACACCACGTCTCCGTTGTATCACGTCACGTATCGTCATTAATGCATGTAGTTCATAGTTATGTACATTAACTGCTCCACGTGTGTTTGACAGCATTAGTTACTAGTTACTTAGCAGATTAAGGATATCAGACTAAATATACTCAACTAATAAATGATGTGTTATTACAGATTAAACTACCAGCAGTGTATAAAGTCATTAAAGTGATGAACACATGAATTTTTGTACTTTTACTTAAGTCAGACTTTGAGTAAGTAAGATTTGAATGCAGGACTTTTACTTAAAAGAGTATTTACACCATGTGGTGGTATTAATACATATTTTTTTACTGAAGTACAAGATGTGTAGACTTTCTCCATCACTGTTAAAGTAATGTTGTTTATTACATTATACAAGAAGTGCAAGAAGATATTCATTTAATGATGTTCTTATTCTCGTCTGTTTGCATCTCAGTGATGGATGAAGAGCTGGAGAGAGGGATGCTGAGTATCTCTCCTTCCAAGCAACATGTGCAGAGCTGTGAGTAAACATTTGTCTTTTATTTCTTTGTTTCTACCACCTGAAGACTCATTCTATTCAGTATATATGATATGTTTTTTGTTTATGTTTAACAGCTGTTTCTGCATCAGCCAGACAACAACAGGCTTTAGGAACAGAAAGAGGCTTTTCACCAAAAACGTTCTGCCGTCAACCGACAACCCTGGAACCATGACTTCTTATCCCACATAAAGCATGACTTGAACTGTTCTGTCTCATGTTTTGGTGTTCTACTTGTTGTCCTAGTGACTATGAATTGATACCAGTCATGATGAGGGTACGTATCACTCTTTGTTTTCTTATATGGATAAAAAGCAACAATATGTATGTATGAAACTGCTGTGTTACTAACACCTGAATGCATGTGTTTGAAGTGTGCCATGTTGCTTCACCTGCCTAGGTTACATCACAATGACTGGCGACTGAATATTAACCCATTGAAACATAAACACACGTGTATGCATGAAGTATATTCTTTATATATTAATGTGAGAAACAGTCTGTCATTGGATAAGGCTGAGAAAGGTGAAGTAACAATACTAACATTAGTGTTTCTTTGTCAAAATATAAATGGCTTACAAGGTTTTTTCCGTTGTAGAACCATCTGCTGCACTGGCTGCACCAACTCATCTGAAGGGTTCACAAGTAGATGGTAAATACATCCAACATGTAAACGTATCTGTCATATTCACTGTGCTCATATCCGTTATAAACCATTGATTATGTTTTGTGATCCTTCTCTCCTTGCAACTGTAGAGAGACCTTTGCCTGTTCCCCAGGAGCTCATGTGTCTGCTGCCAGAATTAGCGGGTCGTCCATCAACAGAGGCGGCTGTCACAGTTCCTGGTGTGTATTATTTGACCTGTATTTGCACCTTACAAATATCCATATGTAGTGTCCATCAAAACTGTTGTTAATTCTTTAAAGTTACTGCTGCACTGTATTCAGACAAAAAGTAGGCAGCACTCCAGTGTCCAGCTTGCTGAGTTTCACAGACTACAGTGTAGATGTTATGTTACTGTCTTGCTTCATCTTACTGTCAATAATAATAATAATATAATATAATATAATAATGTTCAAAACTGCTTTTAATGTGTGACCACTATTGTGTATTTTATGTTTTTAGTGTATTGCTTTTATATATGATGATTTTAATGTAAAGTGTCTTTGAGTTTTATGAAAAGCGCTATATAAATAAAATGTATTATTATTATTATTAATAACATGTTTAATATTCTCTATAGTGTCAGAGGCCCCCCTGATTTCTCCTGAGACGTCTGCAGAGCCCGCTCAACTGTCACCTGCACAGAGAGATCAACGTTAGTATTAGAAGGTTTTTC